TACAAGTCTGACAATTTGGCACATACTCATATGCTTGCTCCCAGTGCCTAATTTTACTTTGTTGAGGTGTTTGCAGAAATTCTAGGACACACCGGAAGTGAGAAATTACGAAATATTTGCAAAATAACAAAACACATCTGCATTTCGGTAGCATATGCATGTCAGAAGAGCACACAGTTTTTATACATATACTTTTGCACATGATAGACCGAACCCTTATCTTCGAATCTATTATCTACACGTATAGCAAGCATATCCGTTACCGATCTTAGCATAAAATATATGCTGGTACATTTAAAAAAAAAAAACGTCCTGCAGGTGCACTCATTTCATTTAAACGCATTGCAACTGCATTTTAATAAAAATGTAAGGCATATGCAGCAGGCTGGAATGCTGTTTCACTCAGCGAGGAATGCCGTTGCACGTCCTAATGTTTCATATTCGACAGCAGTGTATTTTGTACAAGATCTTATTTACAAGTGACGCATAGGCATGCAATTTTATGCTACTTGCTGGTTAGACAGCCTCTTTTCTGCATTCATCCGCATTCATTCTCGAATAAACAGCAGCAAGACAGAATGTGACTGATGCATGTCAACCGACTTGGCGCATGTAACCTTATTAGCTCCACAATCTTCCTCTTCGTCTTCCTGGCTCTTTCCTCCACCTTTTTATCGTTGTTTTCCTCCATTCCATAGGCGGATCTAGAGGACAGGGGAGGGAAGGAGGTTCGGAGTCTTTCGCTCCCACCCTCCCCCCTCGCCCCCGCCCCGCAGTAGCACAAGGACCAGTGCTGCAAAAGCCCGGGTCTGTTCATAAATAAGACTAAAGTAGCTCTAAGTAGCAGTGTTACAACTCTGTTTCTAATTTTTGCATGTTCCAAGGTGGGAGTGGGCTCTTTCCTCCACCCCAAAGCAGTCCCCTCCCTCTCCAAGAGCCCATTCTCCCCCACCTCCGTCGGTCCCCTTTCCCCTGGAGTCCGTCCTGGATCCGCCTGTGCTTCATTCACAATTAAAGTTGCAATCACCCATCCTAGATGTGCCATCAACAGACCAATGCTAAATTAGTTTTCCACTGGAAGGAAATGGCACAATGGAAAATCGTGCCGTGTGCAGTCGAAATAGAAAACTGTCTCCTTTTCACACTTAAAAGACGTGAAAGCTATGAAGGTCCCATGCAACAAATGCAGTAAAGTTGGGGGAAAGAAGGCATCAAAAAGAAGCGAGTAGAGCGCGAAAAACATCTACTAAAATAAGCTAAGGGCTTTGGCTTGTACTAAACTGCAAAACCAAGCAGAAACAAAAGGCAAAGTGCCACTAAAAAAAAAAAAAAAAAACGAATTATTTCGGCAAAAATAAGCAAAATGGCCAAAGGGACTCTCCAAATACATCTTCACTCCCTTTCCTCCCAAATTTCATGTGCTTTTTTCGTTTCGTTCCCGAAAAAAGATGAATTTCAGCTTTCTGCTTATTTCGTTGCTTGATAAATTAGGGTCAGTATGATCTATTTTAGTCTGTTTACCCAACCAAGGACTGTCCGTGGGTAACTACAGTGTTACTCAGATGAACACGCCTGGTGTCCGCCTTAGTTTAGCCGTAACGGGAAAAAAAAAACATTGATAAACGCGGTTTAAAAAAAAAAAAAAACGCAAAAGCAGCGAGCAGCAGCAGCATGTGGTGCTTTTCTCGGACCAGTACTGGATGCATATCCCGAGCGTGGTAAACACATGCCATTTTAGTGCTTCAAATTTTTCATTAAACTTCACAACACAAAAGTTCAACTTTTTTCAAAAGTGCAATTATTTTCTGCCTGACATGCAGTACTTCCTGTTCGCGTTAGTTACATCACTTGCTTTTTGTGGAAAACATTTCAAAGGAAGATCGGATGACTGTCCCCAGTAAAGTCGCCCTTTGCACAGTGTCAAAAAGGGTACTTGGTGGATTATAATTGCTAATGTGTTTCATATGAAGAATTCATGAATTGGGAAAGAGTAATTTGCGGCACGACAGAAACAGTACCACAGCAGTAGATTTATTTGGGAGTAGAGAATACCGGCATATGTTCAAATAAGTGGCAACGCGCACCAGACTAGCCGGTGCGATCATGCGTTTTGTGCAATTCAGCCCATCG